TGGGTATCCTCCACTGACCCCAAACGGGGGGCCCTATTCCCCCCACTGACCCCAGTGGGACTATTCCCCATGACCCCAAAGATGGGGCATTTTCCCTCCACTGCCCCAAGGGGGGCACCTATTCCTCCCACTACACCATGAACACATTCCCCCACACACCATGATCCTATTCCCCCCATGACCCCCAAGATGGGGCATACCCCCTCCCCTGACACCAATGGGGGGCCCTATCCTCCCATGCCCCAAATGAGGGGACTACTCCCCCCACTGCTTACATTGGTGGTCAGTGGGAAGAAGGTCCCTTACATTGGGGTGTCAGTGGAAAGAATTTCCCTTACATTGACGCGGGAGTCAGTGGGCAAGAATGTCCCTTACATTGGGGGTCAGTGGGAAGAATTGTCCCTTACATTGGGGGTCAGTGGGAAGAATGTCCCTTACATTGGGGAGTCAGTGGGAAGAATGTCCCTTACATTGGGGGTCAGTGGGAAGAATGTCCCTTACATTGGTGGTCAGTGGGAAGAATGTCCCTTACATTGGTGGTCAGTGGGAAGAATGTCCCTTACATTGGGGGTCAGTGGGAAAGAATGTCCCTTACATTGGGGGTCAGTGGGGAGAATGTCCCTTACATTGGGGTCAGTGGGAAGAATGTCCCTTACATTGGGGGTCAGTGGGGAGAATGTCCCTTACATTGGTGGTGTCAGTGGAGAAGAATGTCCATTACATTGGGGGTCAGTGGGAAGAATGTCCCTTACATTGGGGTCAGTGGGAAGAATGCCCCTTACCATTGGGGGTCAGTGGGGGAAGAATGTCCCTTACATTGGGTGGTCAGTGGGAAGAATGTTCCTTACATTGGGGGTCAGTGGGAAGAATGTCCCCTTACATTGGGGGTCAGTGGGAAGAATGTCCCTTACATTGGGGGTCAGTGGGAAGAATGTCCTTTACATTGGGGGTCAGTGGGAGAATGTCCCCTTACATTGGGGGTCAGTGGGAAAGAATGTCCCTTACATTGGGGATCAGTGGGAAGAATGTCCCTTACATTGGGGAGTCAGTGGGAAGAATGTCCCTTTACATTGGGGGTCAGTGGGAAGAATGTCCCTTACATTGGGGGTCAGTGGGAAGAATGTCCCTTACATTGGTGAACAAAAGAATGTCCCTTACATTGGTGGGTCAGTGGGAAGAATGTCCCTTACATTGGGGGGTCAGTGGGAAGAATGTCCCTTACATTGTGGGGGTCAGTGGGAAGAAATGTCCCTTACATTGGGGGGTCAGTGGGAAGAATGTCCCTTACATTGGGGGTCAGTGGGAAGAATGTCCCTTACATTGGGGGTCAGTGGGAAGAATGTCCTTACATTGGTGGTCAGTGGGAAGAATGTCCCTTACATTGGGGGTCAGTGGGAAGAATGTCCCTTACATTGGGGGTCAGTGGGAAGAATGTCCCTTACATTGGTGGGTCAGTGGGAAGAATGTCCCTTACATTGGGGGTCAGTGGGAAGAATGTCCCTTACATTGGGGGTCAGTGGGAAAGAAGATGTCCCCCTACATTGGGGGTCAGTGGGAAGAATGTCCCTTACATTGGGGGTCAGTGGGAAAGAATGTCCCTTACATTGGGGTGGTCAGTGGGAAGAATGTCCTTCTTACATTGGTGGTCAGTGGGGAAAGAATGTCCCTTACATTGGGGGTCAGTGGGAAGAATGTCCCTTACATTGGGGGTCAGTGGGATGAATGTCCCACATGAATGAAATGAATGTCCTTACATTGGGGGTCAGTGGGATAGAATGTCCCTTACATTGGTGGTCAGTGGGAAGAATGTCCCTTACATTGGGGGTCAGTGGGAGAATGTCCCTTTACATTGGGGGGTCAGTGGGAAGAATGTCCCTTACATTGGGGTCAGTGGGAAGAAATGTCCCTTACATTGGTGGGTCAGTGGGAAGAATGTCCCTTACATTGGGGGTCAGTGGGAAGAATGTCCCTTACATTGGTGGTCAGTGGGAAGAATGTCCCTTACATTGGGGGGTCAGTGGGAAGAATGTCCCTTACATTGGGGGTCAGTGGGAAGAATGTCCCTTACATTGGGGGGTCAGTGGGAAGAATGTCCCTTACATTGGGGGGTCAGTGGGAAGAATGTCCCTTACATTGGGGGTCAGTGGGAAGAATGTCCCTTACATTGGGGGTCAGTGGGGGATAAGAAATGTCCCTTTACATTGGGGAGGTCAGTGGGAAGAATGTCCCTTACATTGGGGGTCAGTGGGAAGAATGTCCCTTACATTGGTGGTCAGTGGGAAGAATGTCCCTTACATTGGGGGTCAGTGGGAAGAATGTCCCTTACATTGGTGGTCAGTGGGAAGAATGTCCCTTACATTGGGGGTCAGTGTGGGAAGAATGTCCCATTTACATTGGGGGTCAGTGGGAAGAATGTCCCTTACATTGGTGGTCAGTGGGAAGAATGTCCCTTACATTGGGGGTCAGTGGGAAGAATGTCCCTTACATTGGGGGTCAGTGGGAAGAATGTCCCTTACATTGGTGGTCAGTGGGAAGAATGTCCCTTACATTGGGGGTCAGTGGGAAGAATGTCCCTTACATTGGGGGTCAGTGGGAAGAATGTCCCTTACATTGGGGGTCAGTGGGAAGAATGTCCCTTACATTGGTGGTCAGTGGGAAGAATGTCCCTTACATTGGGGATCAGTGGGAAATGAATGTCCCTTACATTGGTGGTCAGTGGGAAGAAGAATGTCCCTTACATTGGGGGTCAGTGGGAAGAATGTCCCTTACATTGGGGGGTCAGTGGGAAGAATGTCCCTTACATTGGGGGTCAGTGGGAAGAATGTCCCTTACATTGGGGGTCAGTGGAAGAATGTCCCTTACATTGGGGGTCAGTGGGAAGAATGTCCCTTACATTGGTGGTCAGTGGGAAGAATGTCCCTTACATTGGGGGGTCAGTGGGAAGAATGTCCCTTACATTGGGGGTCAGTGGGAAGAATGTCCCTTACATTGGTGGTCAGTGGGAAGAAGAATGTCCCTTACATTGGGGGTCAGTGGGAAGAATGTCCCTTACATTGGTGGTCAGTGGGAAGAATGTCCCTTACATTGGTGGTCAGTGGGAAGAATGTCCCTTACATTGGTGGTCTCAGTGGGAAGAATGTCCCTTACATTGGGGGTCAGTGGGAAGAATGTCCCTTACATTGGGGGGTCAGTGGGAAGAATGTCCCTTACATTGGTGATCAGTGGGAAGAATGTCCCTTACATTGGGGGTCAGTGGGAAGAATGTCCCTTACATTGGGGGTCAGTGGGTAAGAATGTCCCTTACATTGGTGGGTCAGTGGGAAGAATGTCCCTTACATTGGTGGTCAGTGGGAAGAATGTCCCTCCCTTAATTGAGGGTCAGTGGGAAGAATGTCCCTTACATTGGTGGGTCAGTGGGGGAAGAATGTCCCTTACATTGGGTGGTCAGTGGGAAGAATGTCCCTTACATTGGTGGTCAGTGGGAAGAATGTCCCTTACATTGGGGGTCAGTGGGAAGAATGTCCCTTACATTGGTGGTCAGTGGGAAAGAATGTCCCTTACATTGGGGGTCAGTGGGAAGAATGTCCCCTTACATTGGGGGTCAGTGGGAAGAATGTCCCTTTACATTGGGGGTCAGTGGGAAGAATGTCCCTTACATTGGGGGTCAGTGGGAAAGAATGTCCCTTACATTGGGGGTGGTCAGTGGGAAGAAATGTCCCTTACATTGGGGGTCAGTGGGAAGAATGTCCCTTACATTGGGGGTTCAGTGGGAAGAATGTCCCTTACATTGGGGGGGATCAGTGGGAAGAATGTCCCTTACATTGGGGGTCAGTGGGAAGAATGTCCCTTACATTGGGGGGTCAGTGGGAAGAATGTCCCTTACATTGGTGGTCAGTGGGAAGAATGTCCCTTACATTGGGGGTCAGTGGGAAGAATGTCCCTTACATTGGGGGGTCAGTGGGAAGAATGTCCCTTACATTGGGGGGTCAGTGGGAAGAATGTCCCTTACATTGGGGGTCAGTGGGAAGAATGTCCCTTACATTGGTGGGAAGTCAGTGGGAAAGAATGTCCCTTACATTGGGGGGGTCAGTGGGAAGAATGTCCCTTACATTGGGGGTCAGTCAGTGGGAAGAATGTCCCTTACATTGGGGGGTCAGTGGGAAGAATGTCCCTTACATTGGGGGTCAGTGGGAAGAATGTCCCTTACACTTGGGGGTCAGTGGGAAGAATGTCCCTTACATTGGGGGTCAGTGGGAAGAATGTCCCTTACATTGGTGGTCAGTGGGAAGAATGTCCCCTTACATTGGTGGGTCAGTGGGAAGAATGTCCCTTACATTGGGGGTCAGTGGGAAGAATGTCCCTTACATTGGGGGTTCAGTGGGAAGAATGTCCCTTACATTGGGGGTCAGTGGGAAGAATGTCCCTTACATTGGTGGTCAGTGGAAGAATGTCCCTTACATTGGGGGTCAGTGGGAAGAAAGAATGTCCCTTACATTGGGGGTCAGTGGGAAGAATGTCCCTTACATTGGGGGTCAGTGGGAAGAATGTCCCTTTACATTGGTGGTCAGTGGGAAGAAATGTCCCTTACATTGGGGTCAGTGGGAAAGAATGTCCCTTACATTGGGGGTCAGTGGGAAGAATGTCCCTTACATTGGGGGTCAGTGGGAAGAATGTCCCTTACATTGGTGGTCAGTGGGAAGAATGTCCCTTACATTGGGGGTCAGTGGGAAGAATGTCCCTTACATTGGGGGTCAGTGGGAAGAATGTCCCTTACATTGGGAGTTCTGGTCAGTGGGAAGAATGTCCCTTACATTGGGGGTCAGTGCAACGTGGAAGAATGTCCCTTACATTGGGGGTCAGTGGGAAGAATGTCCCTTACATTGGTGGTCAGTGGGAAGAATGTCCCTTACATTGGGGGTCAGTGGGAAGAATGTCCCTTACATTGGGGGTCAGTGGGAAGAATGTCCCTTACATTGGTGGTCAGTGGGAAGAATGTCCCTTACATTGGGGTGGTCAGTGGGAAGAATGTCCCTTACATTGGTGGTCAGTGGGAAGAATGTCCCTTACATTGGTGGTCAGTGGGAAGAATGTCCCTTACATTGGGGGTCAGTGGGAAGAATGTCCCTTACATTGGGGGTCAGTGGGAAGAATGTCCCTTACATTGGTGGTCAGTGGGAAGAATGTCCCTTACATTGGGGGTCAGTCAGTGGGGAAGAATGTCCCTTACATTGGGGGGTCAGTGGGAAGAATGTGTCCCTTACATTGGGGGTCAGTGGGAAGAAATGTCCCTTACATTGGGGGTCAGTGGAAGAATGTCCCTTACATTGGTGGTCAGTGGGAAGAATGTCCCTTACATTGGGGGTCAGTGGGGAAGAATGTCCCTTACATTGGGGGGTCAGTGGGAAGAATGTCCCTTACATTGGGGTCTGTCAGTGGGAAGAATGTCCCTTACATTGGGGTCAGTGGGAAAGAATGTCCCTTACATTGGGGGTCAGTGGGAAGAATGTCCCTTACATTGGGGGGTCAGTGGGAAGAATGTCCCTTACATTGGTGGTCAGTGGGAAGAATGTCCCTTACATTGGGGGTCAGTGGGAAGAATGTCCCTTACATTGGTGGTCAGTGGGAAGAATGTCCCTTACATTGGGGGGTCAGTGGGGAAGAATGTCCCTTACATTGGTGGTCAGTGGGAAGAATGTCCCTTACATTGGGGGTCAGTGGGAAGAATGTCCCTTACATTGGGGGTCAGTGGGAAGAATGTCCCTTACATTGGTGGGGTCAGTGGGAAGAATGTCCCTTACATTGGGGGTCAGTGGGAAGAAATGTCCCTTACATTGGGGGTCAGTGGGAAGAATGTTCCTTACATTGGTGGTCAGTGGGAAGAATGTCCCTTACATTGGTGGGTCAGTGGGAAGAATGTCCCTTACATTGGGGGTCAGTGGGAAGAATGTCCCTTACATTGGTGGTCAGTGGGAAGAATGTTTCTTTACACATTGGTGGTCAGTGGGAAGAATGTCCCTTACATTGGTGGTCAGTGGGAAGAATGTCCCTTACATTGGGGGTCAGTGGGAAGAATGTCCCTTACATTGGGGATCAGTGGGAAGAATGTCCCTTACATTGGGGGTCAGTGGGAAGAATGTCCCTTACATTGGGGGTCAGTGGGAAGAATGTCCCTTACATTGGGGGTCAGTGGGAAGAATGTCCCTTACATTGGGGGTCAGTGGGAAGAATGTCCCTTACTTGGTGGTCAGTGGGAAGAATGCCCCCTTACATTGGGGGTCAGTGGGAAGAATGTCCCTTACATTGGGGGGTCAGTGGGAAGAATGTCCCTTACATTGGGGGTCAGTGGGAAGAATGTCCCTTACATTGGGGGTCAGTGGGAAGAATGTCCCTTACATTGGGGGTCAGTGGGAAGAATGTCCCTTACTTTTGGTGGTCAGTGGGGAAGAATGTCCCTTACATTGGGGGTCAGTGGGAAGAATGTCCCTTACATTGGGGGGTCAGTGGGAAGAATGTCCCTTACATTGGGGGTCAGTGGGAAGAATGTCCCTTACATTGGGGGTCAGTGGGAAGAATGTCCCTTACATTGGGGGTCAGTGGGAAGAATGTCCCTTACATTGGGGGGTCAGTGGGAAGAATGTCCCTTACATTGGGGGGTCAGTGGGAAGAATGTCCCTTACATTGGGGGTCAGTGGGAAGAATGTCCCTTACATTGGGGGGTCAGTGGGAAGAATGTCCCTTACATTGGGGGTCAGTGGGAAGAATGTCCCTTACATTGGGGGTCAGTGGGAAGAATGTCCCTTACATTACATAGAATATTTAAAAGGTTTAAGTGTATATTTTAGTATGTGTGGACAAAATGAACCAAAAAAAAAAAAAACAAACAAAAAAAAAAAAACGTGTTTATTGAAAAACATCAGAGTAAAAAATCACGTGGTATAAAAAAAATCGCAACTGTGGCCGATTTATTCTACGGGGGTCCCTGCTTTTAGAAAAAAAAATATATTTTTTAAAAGGTTTAAGTGTATATTTTAGTATGTGTGGGCAAAATGATCCAAAAAGCATAACAAACAACAAAAAAAAATATTTATTGAAAAACAGCAGCGCAGAAAATCACGTGGCATAGAAAATTGCAACTGTGGCCGTTTTATAAAGTTTTAAGTGTATTTTCATGTAAAAAATTTTTTTATTTTAGTATGTTTGGGCAAAATGAACCAAAAAAAAAATGTATTTTTTGAAAAACAGCAGAGTAAAAAAATCACGTGGTAGAAAAAAATTGCAACTGTGGCTGATTTATTCTACGGGGGGTCCCTGCTTTTAGAAAAAAAAAAAAATGTTTTTTTTAAAGGTTTAAGTGTATATTTTAGTATGTGTGGGCAAAATGAACCAAAAAAACAAACAAACAACAAAAAAAAAAAACGTGTTTATTGAAAAACAGCAGCACAAAAATTACGTGGCCTAAAAAATTAGTATGTGTAGGCAAAATGAACCAAAAAAAAAAATCATATTTTATTGAAAAAACAGCAGATTAAAAAATCACGTGGCATAAAAAAATTGTAACTGTGGCTGTTTTATAAAGTTTTAAGTGTATTTTCATGTAAAAAAAAAATTTTATTTTAGTATGTTTGGGTAAAATGAACCAAAAAAAAAAAATATCGTATTTATTGAAAAAACAGTAGAGCAAAAAAAATCACGTGGTATAAAAAAATTGCAACTGTGGCCGATTAATTCTGCGGGGGTCCCTGCTTTTGAAAAAAAAAAAAATATTAAAATTTAAATATATTTAAAATATCTTTTAAAAGGTTTCAAGTGTATTTTCATGTTTTATATATTTTACTATGTGTGGGGAAAAATGACCCCCCCCCCCCTAAAAAATAAAAAAAATTAAAAAAAAAGGCTCTGGAAGTTAAGGGTGTTAATTTTCTGTCAATACTTTTTTTTTTTTGGCCCGACGGGAAGAGTGGATCTCTCGAAAAACTTCTCCTTAAAAATTGGAAATGTAAATCGTATGACATGCAGAGCTGAACGCGCGGCTCGCCGTTGCTGGAGGCATTACATGGAGGATACGCGATACTTTTTATTGGCCGAGGAGGCGAACCCCTCGGGGGTCTATTACCAGCGCTGCGGTCAGAGATACAAACACAACAGAAGGGCCCCCGGCTGTCTGATTACATTGCAGTTCTGTATCTGAAGCTAACCAAAACTCCAATTAAAACTGTAATTTATCTTTACATTTTTTTTTTTTTTTTTTTTGCTTTTTCCGGAGAAAAACATTAAAATTCAAATCCAGGAGACGGTGGCAAGTTAGTTGCGGAAACCTTACAGATCGAGTTTCAAAGTCTAAGAACCGCTGTTTATAAAATGTGACAAAATAAAAGGTTTTGTGCCGTTCTCCTCCTACATTACTGCTAACATTTTCTTTTTTTTTTTTTTTTTTAACAAAAACTTCATACGGGAATTTGCTGCGTCAGTGAGATAACACAGAGAAAAAGTGTAAAAAAAAAAAATGGAATATAAAAAAGGTTGGTATGGAATAGATTAATGAAAAAGTGATCAGATAAGTTGAGCTGGACAGCTTTATAAAATCGGTAAAAATGACAGAATTAAAATATTTAAAATTGAATAAAAAGGTAAATGATCAATTCTGACCTTTTATATATCAGGCCCTTTGTAAATGATTAAAACTGTCAGAATTAAATATTGCTTTATTAAAAGGCAAATCATCAATTCTGTCTCTTTATAAACAGACCCTTTATATATAGCTGAAACGGTCAGAATTAAAAATTAAATTTAAAAAGTCAAAATGATCAGTTCTGTCCTTTTATAAATAAAGCCTTTTATAAATAGCTGAAACTGTCAAAATTAAATATTATTTAAAAAAATATTTAAAAAAAAGCAAACGATCAGTTTTGGCCTTTTATACACAGACTCTTTATAAATAGCTGAAAACTGTCAGAATTAAATATTAATTTTAAAAAGTCAAAATGATCAGTTCTGTCCTTTTATAAATAGCTGTACCTGTAAGAATTAAATATTTAAAAAAAAAATATTTAAAAAAATAATATTAATAATATTTAAAAAAGAAAACATTAAAAAAAAAAAAAAAAAAAAATGAGTTCTGGCCTTTTATACACAGACTCATTATAAATAGCTGAAACTGTCAGAATTAATATTATTAAAAAAAAAAAAAAAAAAGAGAAGCAAACGATCAGTTCTGGCCTTTTATACACAGACTCTTTATAAATAGCTGAAACTGTCAGAATTAAATATTGCTTCATTAAAAAGGTAAATCATCAATTCTGTCTCTTTATAAACAGACCCTTTATATATAGCTGAAACTGTCAGAATTAAATATTAATTTTAAAAAGTCAAAATGATCAGTTCTGTCCTTTTATAAATAAGCCCTTTATAAATAGCTGTACCTGTAAGAATTAAATATTTAAAAAAAAAAATATTTAAAAAAATAATATTTAATATTTAAAAAAAAATATATTAAAAAAAAAAAAAAAAGCAAACGATCAGTTTTGGCCTTTTATACATAGACTCTTTATAAATAGCTGAAACTGTCAGAATTAAATAATTTTAAAAAGTCAAAATGATCAGTTCTGTCCTTTTAAAAATAAGCCCTTTATAAATAGCTGAAACTGTCAGAATTAAATATTATTAAAAAAAAAAAATAGAGAAGCAAACGATCAGTTCTGGCCTAAGAATTAAATATTATTAAAAAAAATAAAAAAAAAAGCAAAATGATGAGTTCTGGCCTTTTCCTTTTTATACACAGACTCTTTATAAATAGCTGAAACTGTAAAAATTAAATATATTATTAAAAAAAAAAAAAAAAAAAAAAAGATGAAGCATACGATCAGTTTTTGGCCTTTTATAGACAGACTCTTTATAAATAGCTGAAACTGTAAGAATAAAAATATTATTATTAGAAAAAAAAAAAAAGCAAACTATCAGTTTTGGCCTTTTATAGACAGACTCTTTATAAATAGCTGAAATTCTCAGAATTCAATATTATTTAAAAATAAAAACCAAAATGATCAATTCTGACACCTTATGTAGACAGACTCTATAAATAGCTGAAACTGTCAGAATTTAATATTATTTAAAAAAAAACAAATGATCAATTCTGACCTTTTATACACAGACTCTTTATAAAAATAGCTGAAACTGTCAGAATTAAATATTTAAAAAAAAAAAAAAAAAAAGGAAGAAGCAAAGGATCAGTTCTGACCTTTTATAAACAAGCCCTTTATAAATAGCTGAAACTGTCTGAATAAAATATTAATTTTAAAAAGTTGAATGATCAATTCTGTCCTTTTATAAATAAGCCTTTTATAAATACCTGAAACTGTAAGAACTAAATATTATTTAAAAAAAAAAATTAAAAAAAGAAGCAAACAATAAGTTCTGGCCTTTTATAGACAGACTCTTTATAAATAGCTGAAATTCTCAGAATTCAATATTATTTAAAAAAAAAATGACAAAAAACGATCAATTCTGACCTTATATAGACAGACTCTATAAAATAGCTGAAACTGTCAGAATTAAATATTATTTAAAAAAAAAAAAACAAATGATCAATTCTGACCTTTTATACACAGACTCTTTATAAAAATAGCTG